TAGGCTGTACTGTACTTGTCCCTCTCATTCTGCACCAGTACAAATACGTGTGCACGTTGCGCGTGTTTTGCTTACTTTATGAGTGTTTCTGCATTATATGAGTGGCTTTGGAAACTAAATCGCTGCATGTTTCAGATGAAAAAAACGCGACTTCTATTTATGAAAATATCACAGTTAGGAGATTTATAGCGAGTGATTCCCGTTTGATAAATTAAGTTAACCAACTAACATTATACATACCCTTTTGGTTTCTGTACCCAATATTTAAAAAATGTACAAATGCAATAAAAATATCGGTATCGGTACTTGGTATCGGCAAGTACAAAAAGTAAAAGTATCGTATCGGGCGAGTACTGGAAAAAGTGGTATCGGTGCATCCCTAATTAAATATTTTGGCTACTATGAAAATGCTATCATTTCTGCTATCATTTGACAATTTAATTCTAAATAAATAATTTCCACAGATTTTCTTCCATAATCAGCTTGAAAAGTGGGAGAAAAGTAGGCAGGTGTTGATCTACATGTAAGTTAGCAGATTTCACAAAATTTCAACACTTAGTTTGCTGATTAATACGAATAAGCTTGAGGGTCCTGTCACCTGCTCCCAAAACCCCTGGATAACACAGGGATTGAAATGTACCAGCCTTCCTGGAACCAGTGTTTTCTTTTGCAGTGCAACGTAACGCCAAAATGCTGTCTCTCTCTCTCTCTCTCTCTCTCTCTCTCTCTCGCTCTCAAATTAAATTAGAATGAGCTTTATTGGCATGACTTGCACAGTATTGCCAAAGCATTGTCCATTACATGAATAAGGAATAAACAATTATATAATACATAAACAAGAATAGATATGTAAAATAAGTAAGCAAATAAGTACATGTATACTTTCTTTTTCTTTTTTCACAAACAAGAAACATAATTTGTTGGAATTTGGGGAAATATGCAGCTCTAATGTTGTGATAGTAATCACAGTGCAGCAGGAAATGTTCCTCTGTTTCCAGCTCTCTCTCTCTCTCTCTCTTGGATTTGTTTCAAAGATAGCCCGTCGTTTCTCATGGAAATCAAGAAGTGAGTCAGCTAGTTGGGGATTAGAATAGCAGATGGGAGGGAAAGGAGGTTTCTTCAAGCTGCAAATTTAAATCAGCTTTAGTTGTATTCGGGATGTTTTCAGCCATTCAGCATGCTGGGATTTGAGACACTGGCTTTACTGGGCTTTATAGGGGGGTTTGTAGGTCAGTGGACTAATCGGCAGCCAGAGGTGGTATTCTGCAGCACACATTGACCTCCATTACACTACTGCAGGACATTAAAAGAAACAGATAGTGAGAGATAGAGACAGAGATACCCATTAGTCCCATGTTAAAGCAACTCATTTCAGTACATTTCTGACCACAAACTGAAAGGCAGACTGCGAGCAGAGTCTGGCTGAGTCTATATGTAACACTGCACTTCCGTGGCCATAAAGCTCCAGGGACCTTATCAGTGCAGTGATTGTGTCAAATACACAGAGCGCTTTCAACTCTTCTAAAACATCCAGACTCTCACAGTCCAACTGTAACTGGCATAGACATTCACAATTGGCTTGGAAAAAAAATAAAAATAAAATAAGGACCTGACACATGGTCTTGATCCCTGTGGATATATGCAGGCCATGCCACATTTTCCACTATGAAAACCTGGGCAACAGTATGTTAAAACCACTTCCAGCTAATACAGATGAGCAATTAAAGTTTTTTTATTTTGTTTTCACCCCAAAAAAAATTCACCCACCTCATGTTTTTCCAAATCTGCATGATTTTCTTTTATTTCTGAATAACACAAAAGAAGATGCTCTGAAGAATGTTCAAGATGCTGTTTTTCATACAACTAAAGTGAATGCAGATGAGCTCTGTCAAGCTACAAAAATCGACACAGACTGAAACAGACTGTAAATTCATAGCATTATTTGCTTAAAATCTTACCTTATATGATATATCTGATTTGCATACATTCAGATATGATTAAGATGCATTTTAACAGGGTCACATTGGGGAAGCTACTTTGTAAGCCACACTGAAAAAAAATGTTGTAGAAACTTTTTTGCTCAGAAATTAATAAAAAAATTGGCAAGTAACACTGAATTAAATGTGAATTTTGAAAACAAAAAAACTTTGAAAAATCTCTTTATGAATGTAGTTACAATTTACAGTATTTACTAGAGCATTTACTTGGCTGACAAACATGTAAACTAGGGTTACTGCTTAAAATTTGCAGCAGCATTTGGCTAAATACTGGACTAAGACTGAGAAGCTGCAGGGGTTAAGATGAATCACTAAATTATTCCTTTTGCCATCTGAATCATTTATTTGACCATTTTACTTATATAAGCCATGTGAATGAACTGAAGGACTAAAATGATCCATGAAAGGGAGTACAAAATGTGTTTCTCAAAAAGTTACAGTTTTATTTTTTAAGCTAAACTACTTAAAATGCAGGTAAATTAGTGCTGTTACTTATAGTTAATTAGTCCTCAACCCTGTTGCCAGGTTTGACATCAATTACATCACACAACATTGATCCTTGTGTCACTGTTGTGAAACTTGTCTTAGTGCATCTTAATGTGTCTTATTTGAATGTAAATACAAACAAGATTTAAAAGCAACAGTAGGTAGATCAATTGGGTAAAAATCTAATGGGTAGCAGTAAATTACAATACAGCTTGCTTGATCTAACAAAAGAAGCCCAATCTAATTAAAATATAACAGATTATTTTGTATATTACATT